TAGCGCCCCCCCCCACACCAGTGGCCCCCCCCTCCCCCCCCCCGTCTCCCCCGATCTCCCTTCCTAAATATCCACCCAGCCTCTTGCCTAGAAAAGGCAAACAGCAGCTGTGTGAGAGTGAGTCAACGTCCAGAAATACAAGCTTCCAGGATGCACCAAGATCTGTGAAGGAGGGGGAGGAAAGGGGGGGGGGGTCTGAGGGGGAAGAATGTCGCTCATAATTGCACATCTTTTTATTTCACCTCAGGTTGTTTTAATTCCAGTCCAGAATCTGTTGGTTCTAAAAGAGTATTTTTGAAATAGCTACACTATTAAATAAAGAAATCGATTTAGTTTTAACTTTATTTAAACGAAGCAGCAAATATGCCTCGTTGGTAAAAGAAGACAAACGCAGTTATGACAAAAAAAAGACAGGGGGCGCTGGTCGAATCTTAACCTCCCATTGGTTACACCGAGGGATGTCCAATGATATCGACTGACCAATATTATTGGCCCGATATTAGCATAAGTATTTAATATCAGTAAGAATTGTTAGCGTTCTTTCCTCTGATGATGAAAACCCGATAACGGAATTTCTGGATTTTGCCAAATATGTTGGAATTGCTTATAGAGTACTGACACGTTTACCCCAGTTTCGGGGGCAAACGGCTGCATATATCGGTATTGTTTTATATCAGAATCGGAAATCGTGTTTGGACAATATCGGCATGTTGATATTATCGCGAAAAAGTTATAACTAGGGATCGGACGTCCCTAGTTACACCTGTTGTGTTTCACTAACCGACTTGATGTGGAATCTACAGTGACATGTGATGTACATCCATGACATCCCACCACCCGATTGGTTCAACCAAGTCTGTTGTTGACATTAGAGACGGCCATGTTTTATTTATGATATTACAAATGATGGTTATATGTCGAAAACGAACGACCGTTCCTCCCACCACGAGTGTTTCTACCAGTGAGAGTGGAATCGTGAGGGTTTGTTTTTCCCTCTGTGGCTTTGATGATAAATGACAGCACCACTGTGTTATTACTATTCATGGCCATTCATCTTAATTCCCTCCTTCATAATGTTTGTCTCAACTCCATTAACCCACACATGTTCTATGTCTCTGTTTCTTTTCTTTTTTTTATAGCCTCCAGGTCTGCAGTGTAGCGAAATAAGAGATATTTACAGGTGGATGTGTTTTAGTCTTTACTTAATGTGGAAGTATGTCGGAAAGCACCAGGCGGCAAAGAGCGCCTGAGGGCAGTGACAGGTATCTTTATTAGTTCTCTCTCTCTCTCTCTCTCTCTCTCTCTCTCTCTCTGGCCCCCCCACTCTGGATGTAAAACCCACTCTGATTGCCCTGCAGCCCCTGAAGCCATAACTCAGAGGCTGAACGGCTCAATCTGCGACACCTTTGAAAGATAATCACGTTTTATCCGCGCAGCGTCGCCATAGAAGACGAGCAACAACTATATTGATTCCTCGTGTTCTGCATCATTCCGTGACCCCATCCCCCCATTTTTTTTATTTTTCTTTTTTTTTTTTTCTTTTCAGAAGACAAAAATAGACGGCGTGCAGGAAGTGAAAGAGAAGAGAGTGAATTTGTGTGTGCTTTAAAGTTAAAGAGGTAGCGATCTGAGAGTGAGAGCTGCGCTCTGCTGAGTCTGGCACGATTACTTCAACGGTGTCATGTCAGCTTAGTGCTGACTGTGCTGAAGCACAAAGGATCGGGAGGTGGCAGCGAGCGAGGAAGTGGAGGCACGGCTGCCGCCACCCACCGCCTCCTGAACCTCCACCTCACATCCTAGTGATTCCCACAGGATTTAGAAAATGGAGATTATCTTTTGAATAGAAAGAAGTATCCACTTATTGAGTCAGGTTTAATACTAAACAGATTCTGTGTTGGGGGGGGGCGGGAGTCTGGGGGTATTTAAGAGCTGCATGGTGCCGTAGGAGAATAGGGTTCCTGGTTTAAATCCTGTTTTGATATAAAAACCCTTTCTCAGTGGAAGTTTTAGGCTGTTCCTATTGTATCTTCTCCTGGTTCAACTTGGATTAACAAGTTGATAATGAATGATAATATTTAAATAGTGTTTCACTACACATAAATTATTTAATTAGGACGTTAATTAGTTGTTTATCGAGAACGACTGGACTAACCATCAAACATTATCCTGATGTGCAGTCGTGTGGTCAAGAGTCAAATCAGATGTGTTTAATCTCTTGTCATGTCCTCCGTTTTCTAATCCAGTGGGATTGTAATTCGCTACAATGACCTTATGTCGTGTGAAAGAGGAACTGCGGTCGGAAATACAGACCATAAACTCTTGTGTTCTTGCTCGGTTTTAACTTTTGGAGGAGCAGATACAGGCCTGTTGTGTAAATGTTACACTGATTTGGATTTTCAGTTATATTAAAATCATATATGCAGTACAGTAAACTGAGTTTGTTAAACAAAAAATGTAATATTTTTTATACTTTGTTTGAGTGACATAAATGAATGACTTTTGGTTTGGGTTGAATTTCCAGACGTGAGTAAATACAGTTTTTCTGTTGCATTATTTAGTGGGTAAATCAGTCAATGTGTTTTCTCCGTGGAAGAATGTAGTGGGATGGAGTTGAGTGTAACAGTGAGTCAGTGACTCTGTGCTGATGCAGTGACAGACAGACCGACCGACCGACCGACCGACAGACCAACAGACCGACCCAGGCTCAGTTTCTATGGTCCATCACACAGGTGTTACTGTGGCAACTGGAATCAGCTCACCAGCCAGCCATGCTGCGTCATCGTCTTCTCTGCCTTTCCTCTGTTCAGTTATCACTCTGTGTTGATCACTCCACCTCTCTCTCTCTCTCTGTCTGTCCCTGTCTCTCTGTCCCTGTCTCTCTCTCTCTCTCTCTCTCACTCCTTTTGTGTCCCTCTCACCATTTGTCAGGAGATCCTTTCTCTCCAGCACTTTTTACCACACTGTACATTCTCACTCTCTCTCCCTCCTCCTCCTCCTCCTCACACCCACCTCCTCTTTTTTGGCTCTTTTTCTGTATATTCCCATGAGCACATCCTGTTCTATCTCACTTTAACCCCTGCTGCTGTGTGTGTGTGTGTGTGTGTGTGTGTGTGTGTGTGTGTGTGTGTGCGTGCGTGCGTAGGTGGACGTGGGGGTCGTTCACTTCACTCCTCTGGCCCAGCCTCAGATCCAGCAGCCCTTCAAGCTGGTGGAGAAAGTGGTGAGAAATGTGTTCCAGTTTCGGAGGAAGTACTGTTACAGAGGAATAGAGTGAGTATGACTTAAAAAAAAAAAAAAAAAAAAAAAACCACGTGATGAAGTATTTCTCCGTCTTTGTCTCCCGTCAATCACTGTCCCCTCTGCATTTTTTTTAATTCCCCGTCTTCAAACGTCTTTTGATTTATCTTTGTCTTGAAATTTTTAAAAAAATGTCCCCAGGCTTCAGCGCCCACTGATCACTGTGAAAAACCACGACATCAAACCTCGTACACCCACACGCTCGTTTTCACTGTCCCTCACCCCTCCCCACCTCCGCCCGTTCTTCCTCCCCCGTTCCCCTGGTGTGAAAGTGAACGTAGGCCCCGGTACAAAAGGGAAAAGCGACGGTGTGAAGGAGAGCAGCAATTATGAGTCATTGAGGTGACACAGGAAGACGAGGCAGCACATTTTTTATGTAATGCAGCACCAAAGTGAAGAGGAGGGAACGGCGGCGGAGCAGCTGAGGAGCATCTGTGCTGCAGAGTGTGAGCTACTGCTACACCTACCTGTGCAGGGAGGACGAAGAGGAGAAGCTTCGACAGAGAAACATGTTCAGAAACGACATAAACAAACAGGGATTTTTACAGTGTAGCTGCCCTGTACAGGAGGTCCTCGGTTTACGGCGTCCTCAACTTACAGCGTTTTGTGGTTACGTCAGCATCTCTATTCAATTTGTTAAGAAAGTCTCGCTTCATCATTCTAACGTTACGCATTAAAACAAATTTCGCAGGGAACTTGTTGTCGAGCGTAGCAGACGGAAATGTCGTCACGCGGTGCTATGCGCAAAACGTGGCTTTGTTTACATTCGCTAGTTGTACGTCATGCGTTGGATTGTGCTACATTCACTTTGTGTTTGCCCTTCATTTTGGCTTCCAGACGTACAGTAAGTCAGACTCTTCTGATGTTTTTGTCCTAGATGATGATGTGTTAGCGTCAGTAAATTAAGTTGCTTCGCGCCGTAGGAACCGAATTCTGACTTAAGTCGAGGACCCCTGTACCCGTGTTACAACAGTCAGTATCAGTGGTGTGAAGCATGTCTTTATGTTCATCAAAAACTGCCAACGTGTTTGTGGGTGCTTCAACCTCAGGTCAGCGGCCTGGCTTGTAGACGGAATAATATTGTTGAGGACAACAAATGGACTAAAGTCTAGAAAGAACCACGCTCACCGTCCAGATGAAAAACAGAATCTTACAGAAAAACATGTTTCTCTGGAATGTCCACCTTTCTGGATTAATCTTGCCTTAACCACAATCACAAATATTCTAATTTCTCCAAGTCACCCCGTGGTAAATGGGATTAGACAGTTTAATATTTTCGCAGCTCTGGTGATTCTGGTGATTAACTCTAGATTTTTTTTTTCTTTTTAACTTCAGCTGCTCGTTCACCCGTCTGTCATCGTGGTCTGACTGGTGACGTCAGTTTTTACCATTTTATTTTTTCTTCACTCCCAGGATGTTGTTCCCGGACGCCTGCCGCATTGAGCTGACACAGGAGATGATGCAGAGAGCCGACGTGGACCCCTCGCTGCGGCCCACAGAACTCACCATACCCCACTTCAAGGCTTTGGTTGATGCCTATGCTCACCTGTGTGCCAGTGAACCCAGTCTCCTCAGCTATGAGCACAGAGAGGAGCTGCAGCTGAGGCACCATCAGAAGAAAACCAAGAGACCAGCGGACACGTTAATGGACACCACACCTGGTCCTCTGCTGCCCTGCTGAAAACAGAGAGAGGAACAGGAGCTGCTCACTAACGGCCTGTGGAAACACGGCCTGACAACAGACTGCTCTTAGCCCTGACATTTTCACCTGGCATCAACATGCATTTTTAAAACTTTCCTCCCCTCACCCAGGGAGCCAGAGTTACCTAACATTCACATGAAGGGTGGACACACGGAGCAGGAGAAAGTACAAGTTGAGGTGCTGAGATGTGTATTTTTAGACAGATAAAAGTAACATAAAAATAACTCACAGTAATATTTCTAAGAGCGACTATCTGCCTTGATCCTTTTCTTTTTTTTTTTTTTAGATCTAGCCCACATGAAATCCGGTCCCTGTGGGACCTGAGAGAAACGTCAAGAATCTTTCAGGGTGATTGGTTGGTTCACTGTCTGAGAGAAACGTCAAGAATCTTTCAGGATGATTGGTTGGTTCACTGTTTGTCTGTGAGGAGTAAAAACAGCAGTGACGTGAAAATGACTTCTGTGTTTAAGTAAAAACAGCAGTGACGTGAAAATGAGTTCTGTGTTTAAAGGAAGATGACTGATTCAAAAAAAATTTGTTGTTTTATTTGTTTGTGCTTGACTCGTGCTGTGTATGAAATGTAATAAATTATCTCTTTAAACTCACAGAAGACATGCACTGAGGACTCGAGTAATTTCGTCACCTTCATCTTCACCTTCATCAGGCATCGCCACACAAGTCTGCAATGAGATGTTGTAAAAAGTGTAAAGAATTTTCTTCGTTTTTACTCATCTTTATAGAGATTTTTTTTAATGTATCAAATAGTCTTAATGACACTGTATATAAAGTACTATATAAGTACTATAGTCTATTTATATTTGCTCCGTTGATTCACATATGGTTATTTACATACACTGAAGGAAAATGTTTTAAGTTAACAGAATTATGGTCTGTTGTTGTTATTATTATTATTATTATTATATAATTCAATGATCTGCTCCTGTTTTAGCCTAGGTATCCATGTCATTTTCTCTTACATTCACTGTCCACTGTAACTGGGTAGTTTTTGTGAGTAATTTGGAACTTTTAAAGATCTGCGTTGGATGACGGCTAATGCCGAACAAAACTTCTGGACCATATCTCAACCAACTCTTTGTTTTCAAACGCAAACGAGACGATAACTTTTTCATGCGGTGCAAAACGTGCCTGCCCCGGCGGACGGAGCTGTCCTTCTCGAAACTTCCACGTCAAACCTGCGAAAGAATGTGGCGGCGGTACGTAAAGTATCTGTACTTTTACATGTGTATCCCAAACGTTATGATTATCGTTTGGTTAAAAACTTCCTCCGTTAAGAAAAAAGTGCCTTTATGATATCGATTACTAGCTTAGCATCAATCGTGATAGCTAACGTTTCAGTGACGTAGAGCAGTACTAGCGCACAGACAGAAATAATACAAGTGCAGCTACAATTCGCACTAAATGTGACATTAAATTGACGAAAGGATATTATGATGGTATTAAATATGGAGTGAGGCACCTCCTGTTGTAGCCAGGTAGATTAACAGCATTCTAAGTTGTCACGTAGATTTTGTATTTGAATCGTTGATCAAAAAAACTTGTTGCAGATTGGAATTATAACTTGATCATTTTTGTATCAAATAATTTGATGTCACTAAGTAACTTTTACTCAAGGTAAATTTTAAATTAAGTTTTTTTTTTTTTTTTTTTACTTTTGCTTGTGTCGATTTTTAGGGGGCGGGGTACATTTCCTTTTAGTTAACATCAAATTAAGCAAAGTTACTTTTACTTAATTACATTTTTAAGTACTTTTTACTGGTAATACGTAATAGATGTAAAGCCAGTTGGTTTCAAGTTTTTGAAAGTAAAACAGAAATTATCACCTGTCCACTCCTGTCAGTCTCAAACAAAAAATTTAGACTAAAATTTACACATAATGATCAAAAACCTTTTTACAGAAGTGGGTTAAAAAAATACTGATGGTTGATGAGTCTGATGGTTGGGTCAGAATTTGGAGTAAACAAGCTGACAAATGAATTCCTCCTGCTCTGTGTGTCCAGTTCTAGCTGACGGTGGTATTGGTGTAAAGCTGGAGGACTAAACCACCAACTGGGCATCTCTTGAATGCCTCACCCTGGTTTGTTGTCTTTGTTGCTGATCATGCCAGACCTTTGATGACCAGTCCACAGGTGCACATTTGGAATGTGATGAGACGGGAAAATCCACCCGATCAATATGCAGCAAATAAATCTGCAGCAGCTGTGGTTTTCAATACTGATCACACGACTTCTGAGGTAGGTTTCTAATGTCTTCATGAATTTATGTCACAAAGTACCACATAAGCTGTTACACTATCACTGATCTGTGTATAATTTCCTATCATTATATAAAGTCATATAATAATACAGCCATCAGCTGGGTTAAAAACTGATTTCATTCTATATGACTAATTATTACAGCAGCAGCTGGTGTTCTTATTTAAGACTTGATATCTGTGATGCCATGGTAGAATATGAGATATCTGAAAGCTAGAACAGATTATCACCAGCAGGACGGAGCAGGCGATGCTTCCTGCCAGCATGGCAGATGGTACGTTAGGGTTGACTTGCCAAAGGGAGAATTCAGTCAGTCTGGATGATTTGTGGGAGATAATCGTCAACCAGGGTCAGAGTTTCTTTATTATTTACAATGGTCAGGTATGGACAACAGTGGGGAAACACAGTTTTGGTGTAAGTTGGCATGAAGGTCAAACAAAAATGAGTGTTATGATTTGATTTTGATCAATATATTGAATATTGTATTATAATTTTTCAAATTGTTTTTATTTGTTGTATTTATATAATTGTAATTTTATGTATTAATTTTTATTTTTCATTTTGTTAAGTTAAACAAAAGAGAATAATCCTTAGGTACTTCAACCATTGATCAACAGTAACATACAATACAAATAATTTTCTGAAAAGGTTTTAAAAAACATTTATAAAAACTAAAAAAAAATTTATACATTTGCCTTAAAATATGTAGCTATATCTAGGTCGAAGAGTTCTGTTCTGCAACTGGACATTAACTTTTTTTCAAGAAGACGTTTCGCCTCTAATTCAAGAGTTTCTTCCAAACTCTTCAACCTTGACCATGACCGGGATGACTAAGAATTTTCATAGATATATAACTATATCCTTTTTATGCTTAAAAGTCAGGAAAAACAATTTTTTTTCTGATCTGTTAACTATTGATCAGAGCTAACATTATACACTAAAATATTTTTTTTTCTAAAACCTTTTTTTCAAAATTCTCTTATTTGATAAGAAACGTGCAGAAAAACTAAAATTTTGAATTTTCTTTTCCAAAAACATTAATGAAAATCTGACTACATGACACGCAAAATTTGGATTTTACCGAAAATTTTTAAAAAATGCTTTCATTTGATCAGAAACATGCAGAAAAGTTAAAATTTTGATTTTTTTTAAAACAGAAAAGTTAAAATTTTGATTTTTTTTTTTTAAATGTTCATCAAAATTTGTCACCTTCTGACCACATGACCCAAAATTTGAAATGTTATAAAAAAGTAAAAAAAATTCCCAAAATTTTTTTTGAAATGTTATAAAAAAGTAAAAAAACAAATTCCCAAAATTTTAAAAACTGCTTTAATTTGATCAGAAACATGCAGAAAAGTAAAACCTTTGATTTTTTTTTTCAAAAATTTTCATCAAAATTTTTCACCTTCTGACCACATGACACCCGAAATCTGAAATTTTATAAAAAATCTGAAAAAAGAAAATTTCCCAAATTTTTTAAAAATGCTTTAATTTGATCAGAAATGTGCAGAAAAGTTAAAATTTTATGAGAAACATGCAGGCAAAGATACAATTTTGAAAAATAATTTTACAATAAGTTTTTATCAAAATGTCTTAGTTTTGGACCAAAAATGACATGAAAAACTGACATTTTGACAAAAAGTTTTAAAAAGAAAAATTTATAAAAATTTTCGCTACATGCCCTAATTTTATGAGAGACATGCAGGCAAAGATAGAATAATTCATCAAAATTGTTTAGTTTTTGAACAAAAATGACACGAAAAATTTACATTTTGACAGAAAACTTTATACATAAATATTTCTAAAAATGTTTCCCAAATGATCTAATTTTATGAGAAACATGCAGGAAAATATAACATTTTCAAAAATAATTTTACAAAAATGTTCATCACAATTCTTTAGTTTTTGACCAAAACTGACATGGAAAATTCACATTTTGACAGAAAACTTTATACAAAAATATTTCAAAAAATGTTCTCTAAATGCCCAAATTTTATGAGAAACATGCAGAAAAAAATAACAGTTTTAAAAATAATTGTACACAATTTTTTGTCATATTTTTCACCTTCTGACCACATGACACCCGAAATTTGATATTTTATAAAAAAATCCGAAAAAAGTGAATTTCCCAAAATTTTTTAAAATGCTTTAATTTGATCAGAAACATGCAAAAAACTAAAATTTGTGAATTTTTTTTCAAACATTTTCATTAAAATTTTTCACCTTCTGACCACATGACACCCGAAATTTGAAATTTTATAAAAAAAAGTCCAAAAAACATTTTTCCAAAATTTTTTAAAATGCTTTAATTTGATGAGAAACCTGCAGAAAAGTAATAAAATAGAATTTTTTTTTTCAAAAATTTTCGTCAAAATTTTTCACCTTCCAACCACGACACCCGAAATTTGAAATTTTATAAAAAAAAGTCCAAAAAACATTTTTCCAAAATTTTTTAAAATGCTTTAATTTGATGAGAAACCTGCAGAAAAGTAATAAAATAGAATTTTTTTTTTCAAAAATTTTCGTCAAAATTTTTCACCTTCCAACCACGACACCCGAAATTTGAAATTTTATAAAAAAAAGTCCAAAAAACATTTTTCCAAAATTTTTTAAAATGCTTTAATTTGATGAGAAACCTGCAGAAAAGTAATAAAATAGAATTTTTTTTTTCAAAAATTTTCGTCAAAATTTTTCACCTTCCAACCACGACACCCGAAATTTGAAATTTTATAAAAAAATCCGGAAAAAGTGAATTTCCCAAAATTTTTTAAAATGCTTTAATTTGATCAGAAACATGCAGAAAACTAAAATTATTGAATTTTTTTTCAAACATTTTCATCAAATTTTTTTCACCTTCTGACCACATGACACCAAAATTTTATAAAAAAAGTCTGAAAAAAAGTTACCACATTTTTTAAAAATGCTGTAATTTGATCAGACACATGCAGAAAAGTAAAACTTTTGAATTTCTTTTTCAAAAACTTTCATCAAAATTTGACACCTCACTACATTACACCCAAAATTTGAATTTTACAAAAAATTCTGAAAAAATATTTTTTCAAATGCTTTGCCCTAATTTAATGAGAAACATGCAGCAAAAGATAACATTTTAAAATATAATTTTACATTTTCCTCATGTTTTTGGTTTTTGACCAAAAATGACATGAAAAACTGACATTTTGACAAAACGTTTTCAAAACAAAAATTTGTAAAAATGTTTTCTACATGTCCTAATTTTATGAGAAACACGCAGGCAAAGATACAATTTTGAAAAAAAAAAATTACAAACATTTTCATCAAAATGTCTTACTTTTTGACCAAAAATGACATGATAAACGGACATTTTGACAATAAGTTTTAAATAGAAA